CACCTGTGTTGACTACGGCGAACACCTGAAATTAATTAGCTTTTACGGAGCGATAACGAACTCCTTATCGCAAGACGGGATTTAAATGACATAAACTAAAAAAAGACACTTAACGCAATTATTTCCAGATGTCCCTAATTTTTCTTAATGTAATCTAAAACAATTTCAGTGTGGCATATACTCAAGTCTTAAATTTACAATTTTTCGTGGTTTTTATACATTAATTTCTGAGTTGTACCATTACACAATTAGGTTGGAAAAATATTTTATATAAGGAACAAAGATACAAAATGGATTACTCAGTCGCTGGTACTGAATTTGTGAACAAGGACGTTGAAAAAATCACAGAAGAGTATGGTTTGCGCCACCGAATATATGTGCTATATACGCCACAACAAAATGGCGGCGCCGAGGGAGAGAATCGGACGTTGGTGAAAGCTGCGCTTCTGGACTCACACAGAAATTTTGGGCTAAGGCTGTGATGACAGCTGCATGGGTGATTAACCGAACAGAACTGTCTACAGAACCAAGGATTTCGCCACACGAACTTTGGTACAAGAAGCTTGCTCAAAGTATTCGAAATGGAATGCTTTGTACACGCACCTATTGAAACAGGTGCTTGCAAAGATTTCTAACAAAGTTCCATACCGTGAAGCTTCAAGACCGGACTTTTGTTTTGCTGTTCTTTTAAGAAAGATTAATTTTTCTAGTGTATAGGAATGGGAAATGGTGAAACGACCTAGAACTATCGAATTTTGTACAAGCATCGTGGTGATGATCATGAAGCATTCTGTGACGCGGACTACGGCGGAGTGAGAAATAAAGAAATCAACGAGCGGAATCTTGCTCAAGTACGCTGGTGGTCTCATTGCTTGGTTAAGCAAATTGCAGAAATGCAATCGGGACTGTAAATGTTGCGGAAAATTTGGGAAGCAATCTGGATCACAAGGATTCCATGATGAAATATACTGCTGTGTGCAAAATTCAGCATAAAACAATTTAATGTGTTAAAAACTTTTCGGTTCTTGGGTTTAGGGACGTAACGGTAGCTCGTTTAACAATAGAATTAGCTACCCATTTAAAATAAAGGACCATTACTTAAATATTTGTCGACCCACAATTCTGCAAGGACCGACCGAGGACATGTAATAAATTATCCGAAACTGAAATCAATGGTACGCAGATCGAATCTCCAACTTGTACTCTTATAAGAAAAATTACAATTGAACGTCGTGACTATCCAAAATGGCATCTACCGTAATGGTCTTTTGTTAGTGTCCAAACTTATACGCTAAAGTATTCGCGAGTTTTGCGCTTTGGGTTAATTTAAATATTTCAGAAATTTAGGTACGCACGCACCAGAAGTTTCACGGCTGGCGAGTGTAATTTATAGAGTTTATTAAGTAGAAACGTGCAGGACTGACTTTTAGACAGATGGAAATAATTGTCCATCATGAAATTTTGGTGCTTGTACACTTAATTATTAGGAGATGTCAAAGAACCGATTTTATTTAAAATTTAAATAAGCAATCGAGTAATCTGCTAGGTTTGAATAAAGATTAATATAATATAAAGCATGTTACTCAATACTTCAATAGTAATAATGCCTGCTTCGGTACATGAACGAATCAAATCAAATCAAATCATCTCAAACGAGGCGGAAAGACGAATACAATTATTACAGGTACATGACGAACAAAATTGAAGTAGGAGCTTTATGTTGTAGCCATTCAAGTCACTTTAATTGTAGGGGTTGTACCTTTTATTATAAATGACAAAGCTTAACTGCGATACATTTTTTCAATGCCTTTGAAATATCATTTCTTTGGTCTGGAGTCCCGCGTCTGTCTGTAGGTATGACGCCACAGAATTTGTTTTTGGTGGTTATTAACTGCTATTTTGAATAGTCTATTTTATGATTTTTTACATTTGCGTTTTATGTTGTAACGGTAGCTCTAAATTTGTATTTAAATTTTTTGGAAATTTCGTTTCATTTTAGTACTTCTAAGAGTAAAACAATTTATGCATATTGAATATAATAGAAATTTCACAGAGTTGAATTGGTTTTCCAAATAAATGACATTCTTGGTGGAAGTTCATAGAATAAACCTCGGTGAAATGGTGCGTTTTTTGCATTGTTGGGACATCCTTAATCGGTTTCGGAAATATTTCCAGTTGAGTTGTCTGGGATTTATATCATCTCGTCTTCATAATTAGTGCTATTTTAACTAGTGGGTTACAATTGCTAGCTCAACATTACGTCATTATCTTTATCAGAAGGAAATTAGAAAGATTATTTTTCTGTGCTTTCAGCTTTCATGAATATAACGGTTCCAATGGGCACAATTTAAAAACATGGCGAACTTAGATATTACATGTTACATTAAAGAGGGGCAGTACTCGGTAAAAATAATAGTGGGAGTAAGTGTTTGGGGCGATTTTCGGTTTCATTCGGGTTTTTGACCGCCAGTGTAATCAATATGTAGTGTGAAAATTACAGTTGTTAATTAATTCCCGCCTTGATCGTATGTGATTCCTAACAGTATTATTTTGGAAAGTTTGGAAAGCCGTTGCTACTAGTGCGGGACCTTTAATAAAGTTTGAACCATATTCGACTTTTGAATAACCGTCATGACTAGTATTTGTGTTTGGAACGTAAAATATAACAACGTGAGTTCCAGCGAGTATCGTTAAAAAAATTGATTGAAGTAGATAAATTCTAACGTGTCGGTTTTACACACGTTGCTAAATACCCATTCGATCCAGTTTTGTTTGGCTACAGTTTTAAGAAATTTTTAGCACATCTTTGAAAAAAATACGCTATTACATTCGTTACGACTGGCTGGCTGTCCGACTGAAATCTCAGCAATTACAATAGCTAGAGACTTCAAATTTTCACTAAAAGCTTTCTTGTTGAATTGAAGAAAATAATTTCGATATGGTTTTCGGAGGTGCTATAATTTTACCGTTAGATAGCGCTACCAGTATAACAACTTAATTAATAGCGCAGTTTAAAAAAAAATACGCTATTATATTCGTTATGGCTGGCTGGCTGTCCGGCTGAGATTTCAGCAATTACAATTGCTGTAATTGCTAGAGACTAAATTTTCACTATAAGCTTTCTGTTATAGTGTAGATGTGCAGGCTATAGTCTATTTTATGTTAGATTGCTCGTGAGATCGATAATTTTAAACTTTGATAATGAAATTTCACTGCATTACCAAAAATGCGCTTTCATCATGCATATGCTGATTTACAGCTTGTTTGTTTTAGCAGAATCTGTTTGATGTTTTAGAAAGTTTTCAAGATTTAAATTGTTTTTGTATTCAGCCAAGGATTCTTGCCGTTTTTTTAATCATTTGGTCGCCGGAACATTCCATCATGGAGAAGGATTGTGAGCAGTATTCTTAAAACGCTCAAATTGGGGAATAGCTTTGGTCGCTGCAAAGTCTATACTGACGTTAAAAATTTCTATTTTGCTTCAATAGTTACACCATTGACAAAAAGTCTTCAACCACCCCCACTTACTTGTTGTAAGAATTTCATTTGTTGAATGATAAGAGATAAGTTTCATTTGTATCCGGGATCACCTCCGTTTAATTTATTTGCAAGATGGGGAGAGCAGAAAAAAGGTTTTTTGTTGATTTGGTTGACCGTTATTAATGATAGAAAAATCATCTGCTGTTTGTATGAGCTTCATTCCATTAGTGTCATTGTGATTTGATCCTCATACCGCGTGATGCGCATTGAAATCTTCACCTATAATTGCGGGACATTTCACTTGTGAAAAAATCTTTGTTCAAAATACATCGCCATTATTTTGACCACGAGGTGCTCTTATAGATAGATAGAAAGCTAATTTCTGCGTTTGCATACTTAATTGTGATCCCACAAACTTGGATATCTCCATGAAAATGTTCATTAATTTTAAATTCTTCAATCTGGATCGATTTCTGGATTCCCTAATATCACTCCCTCACCGTATGCACCATAGCGATCCTTTCTGATAATATTAAAACCATTAAAATTATATTGTTGTTGGGTTTAGACCAAGTCTCACTTAGAAGTGCGATATGGATTTTATATTTAAATAAATATTGTTGTAAACTGTTTTTATAAGAAGCAGCGGAACGGGCAATCCACTGCTTTATCTGTAAATGTTCGTTTCTGGGAGTGAATTCTTCAAGTGCAAATTTTTACGCAGTGGACCTTTTTGATAATCTAACTAAGTACATATTTCCAATTTTTCTTCACTATTTAACCCCAAACAGTTGTATTAATAAAATGGTGGTTTGCTCGTAACTTACAATACACGGATGCGGCAGAAAAAGCAGCCTTCCGAAAAATTTTGCATCACTATCTTTTCTAATTCATTGTCACTGAAGGAAGATTGTATCCGATCCAATTCTGTATCAACCTGCAAAAGGACCGTCGTATATGAGGTATCATTTTTTCAAGTTTCGAATCGTTATCGTTAGTTGCCCGTTGGTAAAGTAATAATTTTGGATAAAGAATTTGCGAGTTTACTTAGAAATTCAAAATTTTCATTTCGAAAAGGACTTTTATTGCAACAGCCATGTTGCAAATTAAGTAAACCAGTAAAAGATTGGACTGAAATACTTTTGGCTTCTAGGATAAAACAAAGGTATTGTCATGTAATTGAACACATTCAACAATCAGCTCGAATAAGTATTTTTCTACACTTTTGCTTGGAATTGAAATTGTAATTACAATTGAGAAAACCATGCTCTACTCTCTACGCCATTATAGGTAGAAAACATTCCCCTTGCAAAAAATCTTTATGTGATTATTGTATAATAAAATCAAATAAATTCCCTTCCCGGTCACTGGAATAATAAATAACTATTACAGTAGGAAATAGAATGGGAACCTAATCCTGTAAAAGGTAAGTATGCGGAAAATGGATTAAATGCGAACAGTGACGCGAATAGGCGGCGCATTGTTTTAATGCAATCTTAATTAAAAACGTTTCATTTTACCTTAACAGCGGCATCGTACTCAAGTTGTCTCTGCTCTCTGGAAACCGCCCTTTTATCTTCCTCCAGTTGGGTTTGTTTCTCCTTTTCTTTCGAGCTTGTTGAGCTGCCCGCCACCGGTGGCGGGTATGATATCCAGAATTGGTGTGCCAGTTTGACTAATCGAGCCAAACTGCAAAGCTAATTCTGCCCTGAAACAATTATAACCATTAATTAAGGGTTTCGTGTCGAACCGTATTTATATGGCGGCGCAGCGTGAACGCCGAATTTGTCAATTTTCCACTAATCATGACTATAAATAAATAAATGACTCATTCGTTTGAAGCTTTGGCGTAAACAAATCGTGCGTGAAAAGTTAATTTGCAAACAGTATTAGCTACCACTAAAATGCTATCGGTGCTATGACAAATGGGCATAAATTTACAAAATTCTAAAGCTCAGGCGTTTTGCGATGTCATGTTTATAATTGGTTTCATAAATTGTACGAGATTAAGTGTTACCTATTTAAGTATGTAATACAATCAATATTTAATCTAGTAATTGAATAATTTAATGGACAAAGAATAAATGTGGGAATCTAATCTTCAATCATTTTGTATTATGCCCCACACTTTATCTTTTAATCTTGAATTAATCTTTATTGTTATATGTACAAGCATGTACGTGAGAAGAAGCCTCATACTAACTTATGAATCGCTTGATTTATTCCCCATTGCATGTCTAGCTCCATGTCTAAACTCCATTCTTCTAGTTTCCAATAAACAGTTCGAGAGTGAAAAGATGTTTGCGTGCTTGTCACTACGAAAAATAGTTGCAACTGGAAGGGGGTTGATTTGTGCATATTTTCAGTTGGACTAGCAAACGATGATGGAAAATTGATATATTTTTAGCAAAACCTAATATTTTGCCTTCTTCTTTCTTCTCTTTTATTTTAACTTTATGTATAATGAGGATGCGAAATTATAGTCGAACTGAATAATTTCTGTATAGAAACCCATTCAAATATACGTGCCTTACATTTGAAGGAGAGAAATACGAAATGTCATTTTCATATGCCCATAACTACTCCGGCTCATTGCATTTTGCAGGGTAACTAAAAAGTCCCGGGACAGTGGATGATCCCTGTTAGCAATTTTTTTTAATTGGTGTATAACACCACAAATATTAATGCATTTCGAACATTATACAAATTAGTTTCTTCAAAGATGATGCAATTAGTAGCACTTAGAATAAAACACAGATTTTCTCATTCCGCTAAACCGGAAGTCGAAAACAAATAATCACAATAATTGATTAAATGCATATTAATATTAGTTATATAAGCTTCCCAATCATTAAAAAAATTGCCAGGAGACTATTATTTAAATTATTGCCTGACGGTTAATGGCATAAATCTTTAACTTGTAGCGACTATTCTAGAAATCCCGATAGACATCGAGGCGCCATAAGAAATTGTCATTGGCGATTGGGTTATTACAGACCCAAAAGAGGCACGAAAACCAAGAAACAAAGAATTAGTTAAAATATATAATATAAACTTGTAAAAATAAAGAGCCGACCATTGCAACTATACATTCATAATGGAGCCAATAAATTAATAGATATTTGATGATGTTGGGATGAATAATTTAATTCCCCCGAATTCGTGGAATTAGGTGATAATTCATGCAATCGAAATTTAAAATCCTACTTATTCCTTTTCAGTTTATGGCGCGTTTAAAGTGGAAATATAAGCTTGCGTGTCGCGTTCTCAATCAGATCAGTACTCGAACATAATCCAAACCGTTTGCGTGAAAGTAAATTCCAGAGGGGTTTTTGAATAAAAATACATATAAAACGGGGATGTAAAGCGTGTTTCTAAGTAATCGAAAAAGAGCTCCCATTTAGTTTCTCCGAGAGCAAATATGAGAGCGTCTAATACCATACAAAAAAAAGGAGCGTGTGCTCTAAATGTGAAACATAATGGCAGATATTTTTGTATGCAAATTATTCGCAATTCTACAGAGCAGTAATGTTTAATTAAAAATTCCCGGAGACACCTCAAACTATTTACTTAATCGAAGTACTTCAACGCGTTCTAAACTAGTAAATTAATTACCTTCCCATATATTGTCGTCGAAGTTTTCGCAATCGTTTAGTGACTTCTCATTTAATTAATAATTGTCTTTAATATTGTATCAGGGTGTGACCTAGATTGTAACCCACTTAACTTTTGGCTGATCCAATTAAGTAATTAATTACGTTTGTTACCTTAAAACAATTTTAAAATGTGTTATAGCTAATTCGAGATAACTTTTCGAAATAAGTATAAATTAATTAACTGGGCTTTTGTACCGGCTTTATTTAACGGGAAGTCTGAAGGCACAACCGACAGCGGTAAAACTTCTGGGGTTTCTATTATTAATGGATTTCCCTATATAATGCAGATGATTTGATCTCGTGTTTAAATGAACGTTTCCCTCCAGGACGAACCCATTTTAATCCTAAAAATGTCACTGTGGAAACATAATCATTCGATAAAATGGCGAATACGCGAGTTGATGTTCACAAACACCCACAATAGAGTATCTGCTGACGGCGGCGGGATGCATGTATCCCTAGCCCTTGTGTTTAAACTAATTAATTAATTTATTTATTGCCTTTATTCTGAAATGGGCGGGGTTTCAGCCGCAGCTACTTTACCTACCCTACCCACTATACATTTACAAATATCCATGCCCGCACCAGGATTCGAACCAGGGACCCTTAATACCGCAGTCCAGCTTCAATTGAACTGTGCCACACGAGTTCAAATCAGCTATATAACAAAACAGTTAAAATGAAAACCAATTTTGATATTTGTTCGGAGTCAACTTTGTAATTTTAAAGGGGGATCAAGTGGAGTGTCGTTAGAAGGGTCTTTTTAAAAGAAACAACTTTTGCTTGTAACGTTTTCGTGTATATTTTACTTACTTCCCGTAACCAATGTGGATTTTGTTGTGACCAGAAATGTGCATTGTGGATGTGGATATTGCCTTCCAACTTCTCGTTTCCGTATCTGAACCTCGCTATTGAATGTTTTTCTTTAGATATTTCGGCACCACCTTCATTATCAGCTCCTTGTATTTGTCTGTGAGTTCTTTTTCCGCTATTTTTCTCCTCCTTTCGACCTCTGCTCATCCGTATCCGTTTCATTCATAATATTTTTAGCATAACACAAGGAAGTTGCGGTACCGCTTATATGCTCAATTTTCCGCCGTTTGTCTACCTGTCTCTCTGTCTGTCTGTCGTTTGCCCGTTACTCATTACGCGGCAAATTTGAAACATTTTTTCCGTTGTGCTGCCATCAAATGCCTTTTGTGTTCATCCTTGTCGCTAAACATTTCTTTGAGTGAGGCATGTAAAAGATAAGTGGGGGAACAAAGATAAAATAAAGTACCTTGCAATAACATTACTTATATTAGGGCGGGGTAATAAGAGGTAACGGAATACTATTCCAAATTCGGTCGCATGAAAGGATAGTTGCCAGTAGAGCAGTAGTCCACTCCAAATGATAGATTAATTAAAAAACCGTGCGTGTCAAAGTTCTACAGACATATATTGTTGATAATGATTTATCTGGATGATTGAAGCCAACTAAATATGTGTCATTTTTTAAGCAGGGGTTTTCAAGTTTTTTGCTTCTCTAATGGTTTTTGGCGTCTAGATAGCGGGCGTATGGATAGGATTACATCCGTTTTGCTACATCATATAAAGATAAGCTCTCCATGGAGATCTTTCAAATACTTAACAACCTAAAAACCGTTTGAGATTAGTGGCGCAAGGAGCACTAACCAATAGAAAATTTATTAATTTAGATATCGCTATTTTAAGTTCATTCGCCAATTTGGGAGTGAAACATTTACTCGATAGATGATGAACAAATTAATAGATTGAATCTCCAATCTAACAAGTCATTTTCGGTGCAAAGTTCGAGTTTAGTTAGACGCTAGGATTACCTAGTTTTGAACCACAAAGGCAATTCGAGAAAAGTCAAGTTTTCGTGTTAAATTTTACCTCAAGTGGTCAGCCAGAGACGTGAGTTTTTTAATCTACCCAAAGGATATTTAAAAAGTGTAAAGCTTCAAACTTAACTAAACATATAAACTTCATTTGCTGATAGAAAAAACATTCTTCATTACGCGATATAGAAAAACTGCGTCGGATTCGGGGCGAATTAATTAAACTGCAAGAGTTTAATAAACCCCATCAAGTGGCGAAATTGGTACGACTACTTTCTTTCAATTATATTAAACAGTAACAAAGTTCATTAAGCAGTGTGAACGCAAAGCACATCGTTAGACGTAAATTTCCACTTTCAAGCACTAAAAACACCGAAATGATGCCAAAAAAATTCCCACTTAAATTAATACCCTTTATCAGAAAAATTCAATATCTTCAAATTTCCAAATGCATTTTTCTTCAAGAATACATCTGTAAAATCTCTACTATATCCATCCAGATGTAATTAGATGCTAAGAACAACCCATTGGGCGAACGAAGAAATCAATAACAAAATTATTGTACAAAATTTTGAGTTATTTTCAATATACATACACGGAGACTATTTGGTGTTTACTTTTACTGCCGAGTGGAAAATAGTTTTAGAAATTTTGTAGTAATTTTCAGAGAAACAAAAGGAAAAACTCGACAGTAAGCAAAACCACGAAAAAACAGTAAACAAATTTAGTAAGGAATAAGCTAGCCGACAGCAAACCATAATTCATTTTATATTTTGGTTTAGTTCATTACAAGGTTACAGCGAAACATAATTGCTCGACATAGGTACCAAAAAGTAACAAATTCTTACGAGAAAATAGGGCAGCCTAATAGCCCAAAGGCTTATCAATCTGCACCGTATAAAAAAAATAAGCCGCATTGGACAGATGTATACTATAACCAGCAAAAGCTGTTTTGGCCGAGGAACCGCGATAAATTTTGATGTCATTTACTACTTCGTACTGATTTTATATATTGAGGTGCTAATAGAAATAATAGAACAAAAAATTAGAAACTTCTATTATAAACTTTAATATACAGGGTGTCACATCGAAAACAGCACATCGCTATCTTCGGAATTAAAAAGGGAATTTTGGAAAGCCGCTAAGGGGCGTCGAATTTAGGTTCGTGAGTGAGTTGAAAAAAAACTTTTTACAATTTTTTATTATTTATT